CTCATTCACTCAAAACACTGTTTAGCAGTTGCAAAATTTATACTTTTTTCTATTATTGATGACTAGCGAAGTAAGACACTTCATCAATACTTTTTCCAAACAACTGTGTCTGAAATTCTGATGTATAAGGTATGTCTCAGATTTACATACAATTATCAAGAAAAAGAAATAGAATCTTGAGATTTTCTGTGACTATCTTTGATAAAAAATGCGAGTTATCTTTCATGTGTAAATTACTTAGAATAATAAATTAATAAACCACCTATTTTATTACTCAGAGTAATAAACCCTTCAACAGGGATGATTTTATTTACACCTGCACCCACAAAGCACAATTCTTGGCACATAGTAGGCAATTAATGACTGTTTGTTAAATCAATATTACTCAAAATAATAAAATAATATTATTCAAAATAATAGACCCCTATATAATAGAGAGGTTTATCATTTTTTAAAATTATAATTATAATTATAGGGGTTTATAATTAATAGCAATTATATCTAAATGTTGATTATTACTATTACTATTTTTTTTTAGATGGAGTCTTGCTCTGTCACTCAGGCTGGAGTGCAGTGGTGAGATTTCAGCTCACCGCAACCTCTGCCTCCTGGGTTCAAGTGATCCTCCCGCCTCAGCCTCCCAAGTTGCTGGAATTATAAGCAAACACCACCATGCCTGGCTAATTTTTGTATTTTTAGTAGAGACAGGGTTTCACCATGTTGGTCAGGATGGTCTTGATCTCCTGTCCTCATGGATCTGCCCGCCTCGGCCCCCCAAAGTGCTGGGATTACAGGTGTGACCTACCGCACCTGGACGAAATGTTGATTTTTTTATAAGGAAAACATTTGAAAATAAATATTAAAATATGTGATATTTCTTATTGTACTAACGTCAATAGCAGAGTAAAAAATGAAGCATTTTTTTCCAATTATTATTTTTTTGGAAAAGAAAAATGAAAAGGAAATGTAGATAGTCTTGCCATTGGAAGTATTGAAGGGTTTTTTGTTGTTGTTGTTTTTGTTTTTATACAAACATGGCATCTCTTGCAGAGAACAGAGAAGGAATTCCCCATATTTTCTCAATATTATCACCGTGCCTTGATTGAGTCTGATGCTCCAGTGATATCAAACATCTTGCAGGTACTAGTGCATACTTCATCCCTACTGACATGTACTAAGGCATCCTGAATTTAACAGGTCAAGAGAAACCTAATTTCTCAGTAGCAATCCTATCATCTGAGTAAATGGAAATACCATATTTCCATTGCTCAGGACCTAAAATTTAGAATCAGTTTTGAATTCTTTCTTTCTTTCTCTAGGTTAATTACCCAATTCTGTAGATACTACCTTCAAAACACATTCAGAATCTGATGGACTCTCACTTTTAAATGCTACTACCCCGGTTCTATGCATCAACATCCGTCATGTAGATCACTGTGAAAATTCCACGTCTTGTTTCCCTGTTTCCATTCCTGCCTTCTACAATCATATCATACATCATCTAGATTTCTTTAAAACTTTAAAGTTTATCTTTTTTCAAAATCCTCTAGTCAACATAAAATCTAAAGTTCTTACCATGCCCTGAAAGGCCATATGTTGTTTTTTCCACCTCCCTTCATTCTGATTTCGGGCCTTAACTCTCTCCCTCTAAACCACTGCGTATCAACCATACTGGCCTTTTTGCTGTTTCTCAAACAAATTAGTTCCTGCCTCAGAGTCTTTGCCCTTGCTGTTTCTTCTACTTGAAAAGTTATTCGACCCTACTTGGTTTCTCACTTCTCCCAGGTCTTTACTCAAATGTTATTAATGGACTGGCTTTCTAAAAAGGTTCCGCTTCTCCAGCCCCTCTCTATCCTTATACTCTGCTTTGTTGTTTTAAACAGAATTAATCACTACCTGAGATATTATGCTTATTAGTTTATTTATTTTCTTTTTCTAACATACAAATTTTACGAAAATGGGTATGTTTTCTGTTTTGTTCAGTACAACATCTGCAAGTTCTGGCATTCAAAAACCATTTGCTGAATGAACGAAGAAATAAAGGAACGCATCATGCCCAGAGGCTGTTTCAGACCTTTGTGTCTCTCTGCCAGCTTTTCCTGCTGCCTGGAAGTCTTATAGTCTCCTGGGTCCTGGCTATCTAGTGAACAAACCTTCAGCTACCTTACTGGAGAGTTTAGAATATTGTCCTCTTTCCTAGAGCTTTTCTGTCACACTCATCAGATCAAACTACCCACCCTTTCCTTGGCTCATCTACTGTAACCTCTGCATTCTTCTTTCATATCTCCTGGGATACTTAGGTGTCTACAGTACTTTCTATGTCCAAAAGTATTCTGTGGACAGGGGACGACTTTATTCACACAATTCTTGGCACATACTAGGCACTTATTGACTATTTTTTAAATCAATGCATAAATAGAAATAAGCAACATATGACTAATATTCTCCTCTTGATATATGAGTGAAAACCTAAAGCTAAAGATTTCTACGAGTTAACTTCATTTTTATGACTCTAATAACTTATTTAAGAATAATAATAATGCCAATGACCTATTGCACATTTGCCTTTTGCTGGCATTATTGTAATTTAATAAGTAGTAGTAACTCATTTATTCAATCTTCTGAGTTTATGAACTATTATCATTTGAATTTTAGACAGGAGTGACCAAGGCACTAACATGTTGAGCAGCTTGTCTCACTCACGAATAAGAACAGACTCAGGTCATCTGCCTCCAGAGCCTCTGCTCTGTGTCGTTAGTTCATTATATAGTCTTCCTCACTATAAGACCAATTTCTTTTTCTCCCCCTACATATATTAGGAGAAACGTTTTTGACAGGGGTCAGTGTTGATTGATTACCAAAGTAAATCTCAGACAAACTTCCGTGAGCATCATATGATATAAATTTATTTCTGAGGCTACAGTTTTTCATCAAAATTTTTGTCCTTTATTGGTTTCAGTATGTGTTTGTATCTTATCAAGGCACATTCTGTATAGGTGATTTTCTAACTAATTTTAAACACATTATTTTGTGTAATTATATATATATAAATTATACACATATACGTAATTTCATAGTTAATTTTTGCTTACATCCTAAAACAAGAGTTAACAGATGTGATTGACAGTGCCTCTCACAGGTAAGACTTAGGTTTTATTTCCCATAAAATGTTTAAGCAGCACGTGTACTAACCTAAAGGAAAACTCCTCAACATATTCATGAGTAAGCATAACCTGGCTTATTGTATTAACTTGCACTAAATTGGATAAAACTGGGGAGTGGCTATCAAAATAATTTTCTTAAATTTAGAAATAGGAACCCTATTATATTAAATCTCTTATTATTACCATCTTAAGCAAGCATTTAATGATAATCTTAATGACTAGCACCACTATTTTAGAAGACAGTTGCAAACAGAGATCACGACAGGTTTTATTAAGGGAAAACCTAAAATGAATTTATAGACAAATTATTAGATTTAGAGGATAAGTTTAGTAAGCTAGTTATATATACACACACATAAATATAAACATATATACATATACAAATACATATAGTTAATCTGAAAATGATTAATTATCCTTTTATACTGAGCAATAAATATTTAGTAAATATAATTTCTGGGACTGCTATCTTTTCAATTGCTTTATATGGAAAATTTTAAATATATACAAATATAGAAACTATGATAATAAAAAAAACCCATGTACCATCTGTCCTTATCAACTCATGACTAATTTGCCTACAGCTCTTGCTAATTCCTGCTGCTTCTGGTTTGTTTTGAAAATTACATTATTTTACTTTTAATATTTCAGTGTGTTTCTCTAAATAATTAGTGTTCATCTTGAAACATAACAATATTTCTATGATAATATTTAACTTAAGAATAATGCTTAATATTATGATGTAATCAATTAGTGTTCAAATTCCCCGAAGGCCTCAAATATTTTTATAGAATGTTTATTAGAATCAAGATACAAATAAGATCCATATGTTACAGTGGGTTAAAATGAAAATTTTCCTATAATTTCTGAACCTCCCTCCTCTAAACGTTTCTTTTCTTAATGTTTATTTGCTGAGGAGCAAGGCCATTTGTCCTATATAATTTCCCAGAATATGATATTTTCTAATTGTATCCCTTTGGTAACATTTAACTTGTATTCTGCTTTCTATATTTCTTATAAATTGGTAGTTAGATTTGGAGGCTTGATCTCATTCTGGTTTGGAATTTGGCAATAATAATTTATAGGTGGAATTATATACTTCCATTTCTATACATAATGTGGTGAGTTTCAGAAAGTAGAATGACTCCTCTACCTATATTTTCTTGCTTTCTTGATTCTTCTGAGATTGCATTGAATCCATTTATTGCTGCCTTAGTTCAAATACGAAATTTGTATTTTGTTTTCTTAAAAACTTATTGATATAGAGTAAATTATGTAAATTTACTAGAATATTGTCAAATATAAATGATTAGGAGGACTTTTTTCCTTAATTCACCTATATTTCATTTTTTAATATTTTTTATTATACTGTAAGTTCTAGGGAACATGTGCACAATGTGTAGGTTTGTTACATATGTACACATGTGCTGGTGTGCTGCACCCATTAACTCGTCATTTACATTAGGTATATCTCCTAATACTATCCCTCCCCTCTCTCCCTACCCCAAAACAAAAAAATAAGGAATGCTAGGCCGGGCGCGGTGGCTCAAGCCTGTAATCCCAGCACTTTGGGAGGCAGAGACGGGCGGATCATGAGGTCAGGAGATCGAGACTATCCTGGCTAACACGGTGAAACCCCGTCTCTACTAAAAAATACAAAAAATTAGCCGAGCGAGGTGGCGGGCGCCTGTAGTCCCAGCTACTCGGGAGGCTGAGGCAGGAGAATGGCTGTAAACTCGGGAGGCGGAGCTTACAGTGAGCCGAGATCCGGCCACTGCACTCCAGCTTGGGCGGCAGAGTGAGACTCCATCTCAAAAAAAAAAAAAAAAAAAAAAAAAAAATAAGGAATGCTTCACGAATCTGTGTGTCATCCTTGCGCAGGGGTCACGCTAATCTCTGTATCATTCTAATTTTAGCATATGTGCTGCCAAAGCAAGCACTATATTTCATTTTTAATAGACTTTTTCTTATTTCATTAGTCGTCAACAAATCTTTACAACAGCAGAAACATATTAAAAGTGGCTTTGATTCTTAATTTAATGACTTCACTTACCATAAGAAAACTGTTGACACACCTGGGACCTAGAGAATACACTGACTGTGATTGTTTACCATTTAGTTTTCTTTATAGTTTCTGTTCAAAGTAATCATGAATATTGAGATGAATGTGTCTTGAGTTTTCAACATGTTCAGGACATAGTTCATCTCTATTCCTGAACTTGAATTTACTCTCCTTTCAGATTAATCATGAAAGGCTTAATTTATTATGAAATTCAAAGAAAAATGCTTTATATACTCTTGTCAGTAATTCTACTCTGATAAATCCAAAACCATATGTGATCACCAAACTCTATTAAAGAATTATGTATCATCATTTTAGAGTTTTTCATAAGTGCTGTTAATTGCCACTTCCAAATGGACTTTGGTGATTTTCGTGGTTTATTCATGGTGGCACTTGGAATCAAGCTAAATACTCTTTTTGTCTTTTTGTTCATATTTACCAATATGAAATTCTATTTAGAATACACTCTATCTAACAGTGCAAAGTGGTACATCAGATATTGGGCAAAGAGAAACAGAACTGCTCTTTGAAAGCCTAAAAATCAAAGACAGAAACAGAGAGACAGACAACATATACTAGGATAGCATGTAGAGATACCTACACAGGATGAAAAGATAGGGACAGCAAAACATCCCATTTACATGTGAAAGGAGCTTAAGAAATGCAGTCTATACACCATAAAATTAAAGGAGGTTTGAAGCACAGAAATACATTAATATCAAAAGATAAAAATAAAAATTAAAAACTGGGATGAAATCGGAAGAAAATGAAAATTAGGTCAATCTGCTTTACAGATGGCCTGACACAGTCAGCCCTTCCCTGGATTGTTTAGCTTGCTGGCTTGAGCATCTTCAGCCCTTTGTTTTCTCAATCCTGAAATGTGCTCCCAAGAACAGATTTAGTCTCTGAAGTCTCTGGCACTCACCTTGATCTTATATATTAAGTAAAGGAGCTCTAATTTTTCAGGAAAAAAAAAAAAGTTATCTGACTCTTATTTTTTGACTCAGTTCTGCAAAGAGATTTCTACCATATTCCTAGTCCTTGTATTTTCCCCATGGTGTGGTAGGCACTCTCTATTTCTTTGTCTAATGTCAATTATTTTATATATCTGGGGCACCAGGGCTTTGCCTGCCCCTGTAACTGACACCTGCTAATCAGCAAATACTAATATAAGAAACCTGCCTGTTTCTTCTCTCCCTCTTCTCTTCTCTGTATAATTTTAATATCACATAGTCCTAAATCTCTAGTCAACACTGTGAAAAATCACTTGTTCATGCCTCTCTGATGCCAAATTCTGTTGCCAGTTATATTAAATGCTCTATCCTGACTGCCAGATCAATTTCTACCTGAAATTGCATCTGTCTTCAAAGACTTGTTCCATTTGAGTATTCATCTGGGTCCAGTCTGAGAATATCATCCCTTCTGGAGATGTACAATTTTAGGCCACTTAGAGCATATGCATACCTGAGGTCATTTTCCCATTGCCCCCAAGGAGCCACCATGTTCCGCTGGCATCACTGGGATTATGAATTGGAAATTCTGCAGCTAAAGGAGCTGCCCTCCCACAACACCACAGGAGGAAGCTCTGCGTAGACAGTCACTGTGGAGAGCTATGGTTCCTGCCCCTCTTCCACAGCTTTCCCAATCCACTCTGTCTCCCAAGACACTGTCATCATAGATAATCCTCTATCAGGTTGCTCCTCCCAGATTATTATCTGCAGGCTTCTGGAGGGATTGAGGAGATAGAAATCTCTGTACCCTATGTCTTCTTCCACTGATGCCTAGAAAGGGATAGAATATTGATCCAGCTGCTAGGATTGGAGAAATGAAAGGATGTATAGAGGATACAAGTGTCTGAATTGTGACCTGAATCAGAATTTTAAACATGTTTCCATAGAAGCAATGTTGTAAACACATTGGTTAATTTATCTACCATTCAATGTATATTTCTTGTGTAGCAGACATGAGCCAGTCACCATAATGAAATAAATGATGATTTGTCTCTTAATTAAAATAATTATTATTTTTCTACTTAGGTTAAGCTATAGATTAAGATTTAATTAACCTTGGTGAATAGGAATTCTGATCACCTAGTACAGTTTTTAAGAGAAAATTCAAGTTTCAACAATCAGGCCATAGACTTGCTAGAAAGCATTTGCAAGAACACTCCAACCCACAAGTGTGAATTGTGGTAGAGTTATGACCTGCAGTTACTTTCTTGTGCCCATTTGTTGATACCACCAACTGTCATGAGTAGTTTTACATTAGAGAAATCATGTTAAAGAAACATATAATGCAGTTTTGAAGAGAAAAACACAACCCTGTCTAGTGGGGCTGCACATATGTCTCTGCAGCTTGTGCACACCAAGATTCTGAGGGCACTATTCTGAGAGGCTGCAATGCAAATTTGTTACTTAGGGTTTTGAAGGGCACCACCTGCACAACCACAGAAGAGAGTCTTGCTGCCTACCTGACTCTTATCTTTACTTGAATGATGAAAGTAATGGGTCTAGAGTGTAGATAGTTATAAAAGTCCCAGGGTTTGTTGTTTGTTATTTGTTTGCTTTATTAGCACATCAGCTAATAAAGCTTTTCTGCATAGGTTCCTCTCTTTTTTTTTTTTTTTCTGAGACAGAGTCTTGCTCTGTCACCCAGGCTGGAGTACAGTGGTGCAATCTCCGCTCACCGCAACCTTTGCCTTCAGGTTCAAGCAATTCTCCTACCTCAGCCTCCCAAGTATCTGGGACTACAGGTGCACACAATCACACCCGGCTAATTATTTTGTATTTTTAGTAGAGACAGGGTTTCACCATGTTGGCCAGGCTGGTCTCGACCTCCTGAACTCAGGTGATGCGCCCACCTCGGGCTCCCCTCAAAGTGCTGGGATTATAGACATGAGCCACTGTGCCTGGCCCATAGACTCCTTTTCTGAGTAACCTGATTTCAGATATAAGAAAAAAAATGCAGACACTAGGTCAGTTAGGTAGAACTTAAAGATTGATTTTGCTAGTGTAGACTCAGCTTTCAAACATGATGAGGCAACATTTCCAGCATTTAGGAAATTTAGTGATTTAGTTGTAAAGGAGGGACCTGGAATGGGAACCATAGTATTCTGTGCAGTATTAAAATTGACCAAGAGACAGGGAATAAATATAGTGAAGACAATCAAAAAAGGGAGCACATCTCAAATGTGTGGTCATGGGCTTCAGATTCTTATTTACACTGGTGCTGGAAAGAGAGGGCCAGAGACAGAGGGAGAGGTATGACTAGATGTCAATGTGGGTTGAATGCATGAATCTCAGAAAAGGGAGTGATTAGCATAAAGTGAAGATGTTGAACAACCGCAGATAGTTTTCCAAATATATGAACATCACTTGTATCTGTGGATCAGAATGAGCAGCTAAAATTAGGAAAGTATGCCAAAATGAGATTATTTAGTGACTTTTTTGGGATATCTCTGATGATAAGGTACGCAATGCCATTAAAGAAAAAAAAAAAAAAAAAGATAGGGCGGTGCAATGTAATCACATTACGAGGCGGATAAAGAAAGAAATTGAAATTATAAAAAAAAAAATTAGGGGGGGGGGGGAGATAGGAGGAGGAGAAGGGAGGGGGGGAGGAGAGATGCACTATAGAAAGAATAAAAAAAAAAAAAAAAAAAAGAATAGAGGTGGAAAGAAATTCCTTAGGCCTCAGATCTACTCCAGGATGTACAGTTAAGTGGACAACACAATTTAATGATGAGAGTAGACCACTCTCTGAGTGGTCTCAGACAGGCGGGCTGGGATGAGCTGCACCACTGACTACTCAGCCCATAGTACTTGGTGGAGTCAGTAGCCAGGCTCGAGGCAGTGGTATTATCACCCATCTCCAAAGAGAGCAGCTGAGTTCCTCATCTTCCCTCTAAGCAATTTCTCCAGAGATAATTCTACCTAAACAAGCCTCAACGAAGATGATAGCATCTGATGTTAGTATGACCAACGATACCGTGCAGACCAACCGAAAGAGCAGTAAGAGATCCATGACTTCCAAAGAAAGCATTCCTTAGGTTTTATTTCCTAGAGGTGAAAGTACAATGGTGTAACCTCTTGGGTTGAGTAACTTCTAGTAATATTTAGAGTTTTCCCAGGAGGCAAAATTGTCAGGTAAAAAATAAAGACAGATATTTACATTATGTGAACAATATGAATGAAGTAACCTCATTAAGGATTAAAAGGAATATGACTTCATTCTTTACCTCATGCTAATAAATGGGTTTTATATGAAGATTTTAGCTCTCATGTATCTCTGCTTGGATGAATTTTTTATTTTTTAATTTCACTGCAGGGAGCTGAAACAACAGAGAGGGGGAACAATGAAGAGGGAGAAAGAAGACTGACTGAGGATACAATGTAAGTTATTGGCTAACGGCTGGACTATATATGTATGAAAATAAACTATATAGTGATTATCTTGAGAGAAGCTGCTGTGGGGTTAAGAACAGATATAAGACACCAGAGGTAGAACTACACTGGGAGACTTTTCAGTCCACACACTTCTAAATACCATAAGCACTCCAGAAAAGTCATGTCTTTGGATTTAGGACTCTGCCATAGAGTAAAATCCACTCAAAGTGCAGCCTTCTAAAGCCTAAAACCAAGCCTCAATGATACCTTTAGATGAAAGTCAGGGTTTGGAGGTTGAATTCCAACAAATAAAGGGGTCTTGGAAAACAGTCTTTCCACAGAGGCATGTTAACAAAGTGAAAACCAAAACTTTAAGGTTATCAGTTAGGAATTGCACTCCTTACTAGAATTAAAAGAAAAACTCTTCAGAAGTATGTACCAGAATTAGGAGTGTATATAACATAACATCCACAAAGTTCAGTGTTAAATCTAA